GATGCTGCTTGGCCTGCTGTGTTCATCCAGCCCTGCACCTTGTTGTCTCACACACTGAACTTTCACATTTAAGGTGAGAGGAGAAAGATTTAAAAAGGTCAGAGAGGCGCAAGTTTTTTACACAGAGAATGGTTAGTATGTGGAATGACCTGCCAGAGAAAGTAATGGATGCAGGTACAATTACAACATTAGAAAGACATTTGGATAAGTACGTTAATAGAAAGGTTTGGAGTGATATGGGCCAAATATGGGCAGGTGGGACTAGTTTAATTTGGGAACATGGTCGGTGTGGACTGGTTAGACTGAAGGATCTGTTTTCATGCTGTATGATTCTACAATTCTTTAACAAGCTCTCAAAATGATTGCTGCAAATCATGTGAATGTTGCATTTGACCTACAGAGAGTACCACATCTCAATTAAATAACTAATTACATATTGGCATTCATTGCCATCCAGAAATTTATGCATTTTTTAAGGATAGGCCAATACTAAAGGATTCTAAAATAATAACATAGGAAAATGAGTAAGTTATTCAACCCATTGAACCTGCCCACCATTTAATCTGATCATGGATGGTCATCCAATTCAAAGCTTTTCTTCCACCCCATTCTTGATTCTGTATGCCACTGGTTATCAGAAATCTATCAATCTCTACCTCAAAAATACATAACCTTTTTACTAAAACAGACAATCGCCTCATCTCAGATCTAAGCGGCAGACCCTTAATTTTTAAATTGTGCCCCTTGGTTCCCAACCAAGCAAAAAATCTTACCTGATTCTATCCTGTCTATCCCTTTGTTTTGTAAGTTTCAATAAGATCACCTCTCATTCTTACAAAATCTAAAGAATACAGGCATGGTATCCCCAGTCTCTCTTCATAAGATAATCTTGCCATCATGGGAATAGGTCTGGTGAACTTTCAGGACATGCCCTCAATGGCAATAACATCTTTTCTGAGAAAAGGAGACCAAAACTGCACACAATACTTCAGGTGCTTTCCACTCAAGCTCCTGTGCAATTGAAAGAGGACTTCACTACTTGTGTACTC